GTGCTTTTGATTTAAGAAGGGAGATCAGTATGAAGAAACATGGAAAATAAATGAGCCCTCTTGCCTCTACAGGTAGTCCCCAGTTTAAGAATGAGTTCTGTTCCCAAGGTCTGTCCTTAAGTCGAATATGTATGTAAGCCGGAACAGTATTATTGCATAATACTGTATAAGTAGTATTGTGTAATGAACTCGAACCATTGTGTGTTTAACTCGAATCACTGTGTATTTAACTCAAATGTTCCTACAATAGGCTATGGGTCATCCTAAAACTGGGCGTTCTTAACCTGGGGACTACCTGTAGAGGCAAGAGGGCTCATTTATTTTCCATGTTTCTTCATACTGATCTCCCTTCTTAAATCAAAAGCACTTTACTCTCTCACTGTAACAGCTGTAATACAAACATACCATACTTAAGAATATTTGAGTTATTCACTTTTTATTTATTTAAAAACCAGACTATTATTTTAGCACCCTCATACTATATAGGATTATGTCTGCCTTCACAAACCTTAAAATTGCATCATTAAGTATTCAGGGTTCTGCAACTAAAGCACTGATGAAAGCACAACACATTATGAGCCAAAGCACTGTTTACTGTAGACACCTTTTCAGTATGTCTTCATTAAAAAGAAAAGAAAAAGCTCTCTAGCTCACTGCTATAAAGGGTCCCCCAAAAAGGAAAAAGAACCCTACATATCAATAAACCGTGTACACTGACAGCAGACACAACAACTAGATTATTGAATTTCTATTTTACCTACTTCTACACAAAAGACAAAAACAAGCTGGGTAGGAATATGAAAAAAAGACACAGCAATTGTCACAGAAAGTTTTCATAAAATGATTTTTGGGAATGTTCTATGCATGACGCAGTAATAAATCTCGCTCCAATTGAAAGAATGCTTAGAAGGGATCTGGAGCCAAATTCAGTCCCAATCAAATATCCCTTACTCTAAATTGATCCTTCATTATCTGCTATGGTTTTATCTCCATAAAAGGAGGAGCATGCATTCTGTACAAATAGCCCTTGTGGGCCAAGCAAAATTCCCACTGACACCTTGAACAGGAAACACCACCCCATTTGTTAGTGAATCTCATGCATTATACTCCACCTATTGGGACTGCAAGCCAAACAGAGTTTTGTCTTTCCTTGATGGAACAGAACGTAAAACAATAACCAGGGAAAAAAATATGCAATGATTGAGGCAGTATGATTCACTTATTTGATTTGGGGCAAATTATGCACAAGACTAACACGGATATTTGTTCCTGTATAACAGAGAAATATAGTGTTATTCTGTTATTTATCAATCACTGCTTCCATGGAGTTTGGGCATTAATTTTTAAAGAGTATGTTTGGTATCTTTATATAACCATTAGCAGAAAGCCAAAGGGTGTATCTGAATTGCATAATTGTTTTTCTAAGTAGAGAGAAATATTCACTGAAGAAATGATATGGGCTATGTAACCCAAGGTTCAGTATATGCTCCTGATTATTGCAATCAGATATCTTTTAATACCACTAAATTCATTTTTGAATAATTCAGAAAAAAATAACAAAATTGAACATTCATTATTTATACCACATTGTTTCCATAGAGATGTAAAACTTATGATTTAAATAATTTCATCCTGTAATAACTGAATGAAATCAATGAAATATTTGGGAATAAGATGAGGGAAAGAAACATGCCTAAAAAGAATTCAATGAATAACCGTGAAAATGCAGTTTATCACATATATGCATAACAGGCACAACTGGTTGAATTTAAAAATTAGAAAAATTTTAGGAGAACTTTTAAGATGTGCAAAGACTCATAGAAAGATAATAATAATAGTGTATGGTCTGGTGTGAGTAATGAATGTTTGCCCAAAGAAGCCAAAATGGCTACATAAAAACATGTGCTTCTCCCACATGCTTTTAAGTAGCCACTTCATATGGAAGTGACAGTTTTTATGAGGGAAAAAAAAACACTAAACTGAACATGGTGGCAATGAAGTATAAAAATTATATCTGGTAAAAGAAGAGGTAGGGACAAAAACAAACGGGCGCTGAAAGAATACAAACTGAATATAAACGTGAGTGAACAGTTAATATTATTTGATAATGTGGAAAGAATGAGTGACAATCAAATGATAAAACAAATATCTGAAGGAAAAGTGAATGGGTGGAAAGGAAAGGGAAGACTGAGAAAGGCACAGATAGAAAGGTGAGATTTTTAAAGACCAAAAGGCATTGTATGAATTAATATGAAGATGTAGTAGAAGCAAATACACTTTGCAAGGACAGAATATGAAGAGACATATTGAATTTTGTTACACTGTCTGTAAAATTAGGAAGACTTTGATTATCCACTGACGAACCCACCACCAATTGTAATATTTTATCTTGTTTTGTTTTTACTTTATTTTTATCTTTAATGTGTTTTTGTTTGCAATTCTGGTCAGTGACCGTAATAAAAATATTCATATTGAATGGTGTGGTGTAAACTAGAATTAACCAGATTTCCTTTTTTATTGTCCTACCTCCTATTTTAAAGTTATTTTCCTTACTACTTCTTATTCCTTTTCTGTGCTTTGCATTATGCTATTTATCCCAAAAGAAAACAGAGTGATGGACATGTATGTATTCATGAATAATGAATATTGAAAATGATGTTAAAAAAATATTGAAAATTACTGAAAACATTGAAAAAACAAGGTTTATCTATTTGATTTATATCCTGCCCTTCACTCAGGAGCTACAAAGGTTTACTTTAAGCAGCTAAATTGTTCTAAGTCCAAAATTATTTGTGATTAAGACTGAATCCAAAGGTCAACATAATTTAAAAAAAATGCTTTGAAAATTCAAAGTGATTTTTGTGTTTATTTTGATTGATTCACAGGGAACTTTGTTACTAGCAGTCAGCAATATTCATTACTCATCTTGTATTTCTCTCTGTCAGTATCCATTTCTTCCCATCTGTTTCTTGTAGACCAGGAGAACAGCATTTGAAGACACTGAAGTGGTCACAGCCAGTATAAATTTAAACTCAGTTCCCAGATTATAGTTTTCACATGTGTACTTTGCAGTTCATCTTCCTGACACACACATATACATATATCTATGGTATCTATCTGTAGCATTTCAGCATACACATGTCCAACTCTGACAGACATGGAGACAAATCACTCCCAAGTTTTTATTTTTGTCTTACACATGATCTGTGGGGATCCACTTCCATTATTAACAGATTGGTTACCCAGGCGTTAAATGCTAACAACTGGGAAGACAGTGGGCAACATCGTAATTTAAACCTTGCAATGTTTTATCACAAACCTAGAATCAAATTCAGAAAAGCCTTACCCTGTTAAAAACTGGAAGCATCATGTAAAGCTTCTCTTCCTGTTCCTTCTGAGTCATATGCCGAGGAGGATGACACAGTTCTGTAAACAGCCGACGTAGATGCATTAATCCCAGAGCGTTATCTTGAGGACTACATTCCTCTTGCCGGGGTCGACCCATTATCCTTTTTACCATATTCATCTTTGCTTGTTTCTGAAAGATCCCTTTGATCCTGTTCAGGAAGAAGAAGAACAAAGTTTAAAGAATGTTTTAAAAAATACACAGCCCAGACCTCCACTTTATGTATGTCATAAGTAGCCTCTTCCCATGCAACAGGCAAAGAGTCCATCTACAGGAAACCAGTTTGGACACACATTTTCAATGGTAACAAGTGTTGTATGCCACCCAGAGTCACTTCATGTAGGATATACATGGAACCCATAGAGAGTTTTTTCTAGGAATGCTCTTTCAAAACACCACGAACTAGAAAATAAGCTCAAGGTATCTGAAGGACCTATCTTGCTTAATTTGCCTTTAAAACATTTTCATTTATTCATCCATATAAATTTACAATTCTCAATAACTTTCCTCTTGATGAGATTTATAAGTAATATATATTTATGCAATACAATAATACAAAAGGTTTCCTTCTGTGTAGAAGAGAAAATGTCTATATCATCAACATATAAAAGCACGATATTGGCCTGTCACTTAATGATGGGGGATGATAAGCCACTTTAGACATGGGTCTTCTCCCCATGGAGTTCACACAGATTTTGAAAAGGAGAGACGTAAAAACCCAGCTCTCCTCTTTGAACAGGAATTTGTAGTAGTATTTTTATTTAGTACAGTGTGCGCTTATATTTAAGGGCAGTACAAGACCTATTTTTCATTGAGCAGACAAGTGGTCTAGGCTTACATATGATCTGCATTCCAATTTTGTAAATATTTAAATAAAGTAATGGCTACTGATCCAAAGAGGGTTGTTTTAAGCCCCAACAGAGACTGACTCTAGAGACTGAGTTAACACCAATTTAAGATTGACAGGTACTACATACAAGCTCCTCAGGATGTATGATGCATTTCTCCACCCAAAGGTGTAATATAAAATATTGGTACAACACTTGTTTCATCCCTCTGAACCCCTCAGTGAGGATATTAGCCTACTCTAACCAATGTAGCCATTTTTAACACAGATGCCATACACACAGTTTATTGATCACAGCCAACTGGGCAACAGTTTATTGCAGTGTTTCTCAACCTCGGCAACTTTAAGATGTGCGGACTTCAACTCATGACGGCTGGGGAATTCTGGGAGTTGAAGTCCACACATCTGAAAGGTGTCAAGGTCGAGAAACACTAGTGTATTGGGTCAGACTTCTCCCCATTTTTAAAGACAGGTAAAGCGACACACCTGCCCCCAGTGCTCATGGAACCCAAACGAATGGTCTACAAAACCGCCAAACCTGGAGTCGGCTAATCATTATTAATTTTCAATAATTTAGGTGGGCATAATCTAATTGCTTTTCCATTTTTTCAATTAAAGTAATTAAAAATGTAGGAATTGCTGGTTACTAATTATTAGTGGGCAGTCATAATGAATAAAGGCTTTTCAATTTATTTATTTATAAGATTTATATGGCCGCCCCTCTTAAGCAACTCTGGGAAGCTCACAACCACAATAAAACCAATAAATAAAACAATAAAAACAGTAAAACAATAACACAAAAACCCTGCGCCTTAATTGTCCCCTTGGGAAGCCCCACTGCGGGCTCAGCTACCCTCCTTCCATACTATCTACCTATTCAATTCTATCCTAGCGCCTCAGGAAAAAGACAGGTCTTAACGGCCTTTTGAAAGGCTAAAAGGGTGGGGGCCTGTCAAATCGCTGGTGGGAGGGTATTCTGCAAGGTAGGGGCAGCCAGAAGAAGGCATGCTTTCAAGGTCCCACTAGATGGCAAGATTTCAGGGAGGGAACCTGGAGCATGCCCACCCTATCGATTTATATAGTTAGTCACATTAGAATAAAGTGATTTGGGGGATATAGATGTTGATAATGGATTCATCTTCTTGGTTGATTCTGAAATTTAATAAATACTTTTTTTAAAAAACTCAGAGGAAGATACCAGTGATCAATCAGAAATGCATTCTTGACTCAGTCCAAAAGTCAAAGTATTTGCTGAACCCTAAGTAAAAGCAGTTATACAGTTAATGATATTGTTCCTTCTGCACTATGTATCCCTTTCCAGGATGACTCAACTAGAAACTGCCTGAAAACCACAGAGGTTTTAGTTCTAGTGATCTGGAAACATCACTGTGAGAGGTATGCAATTGTACTTCCCTCTTAAGATGTTATATAAGTTCAATACCCAAAGGGGAGAATTCAGTAACAGTCTCAATAGCCCTTAAATGCTGTAATCTTTTTTTGGTTTTGGCCCAGACAAAATATTAGCCAAAACATGGTTTACATCTTACTTTGCGCATGGAGCACTGGTACAGTCTAATATTAGTACTTCGTATACATATAGCACCTGCTCAATATTATTTTCCTCAGAGACAACTGCAGATATTGCATAAACTTTAACTTAATGAAGCTCTTTTCATGTCTACCTTTCTTATACCAACCTCACCTGATAAATACTTTTTTTTATAACATGTTAACAGTTCAATGCTACGTAAAGATGTTATGAAACCATGTTCCATGGTTACTATCATTGTCTGACGCTAGCTGTATAGGGTAGGAATGAAGAAGAGTCACTTAAGCACGTTTCAAACATTGTGAATAACCGTTCTAACAATAGAAGGGAATAGATGTAGCTCAGGGTTGAATTGTGGAGTCCTTTTGTTATGTGCAGAATAACTGTTCTGCGCATAACAAAAAGGCATCTGCTGATCTAGTAGGCTTATTCTTCTTTACTATGGAGAAGGCAGAAGTCATGGCCTGTAAGGCTGATGTTCCTGAGTGCTCTGTGGACGCAATGCTTCCATTTTCAGACAGATTGCCAAATGAGCAACAAGCACTCAGCATGGGCTGCCAAGTAATTTGTGTGGCTCTAGAACACAAAATACACAAAGAAGGGACTAGTTAAAGTTCCTGTTTTTTCCAGTGGAAACACTCAAGTCATTTCAAGTTTTGTTCCACCAAAACATAGGTACTCAAAATGTTCTTTTCCATTTCATGCATATTCTACTAAAGAAATACTGTAGCTTCATTGCCAAGGACTTTGACTATGAGAAAATATTAAGCTAAGCAAAGGAAAGTGCTCTGTCCCAAGTGAAAAGTTTAAAGAGCTGTGTCCTCCAGAAAGGCAACAAGGAGCTTCAAAGACTTCCCCGGCTTTGTGTATGGACATGCACAGCTGTTTCTCTGAGAGTTACAGCAGAAGAGTTGTCTGAGCACATAGATACATATATGCTGGTTAAAGCCTTTGAAGCTGACCCTTGGAAAATATGAAGCGCAGAGCTGTTTTAACATGTTGAGGGGGATACTTCACTCAGAACAATGAGCTTTGTGAAGCACTCCTTTGGCACTACAGGTAGTCCTCGCTGAATGACCAATATTTCAGTCTTAGATCAGTACAAGCAATGTGTCCATGAATGCTCTGTGAGTACTTATAAATCTATCTTAAGAGATAATAAATCAAATTTAAGACAAAGTTAAAATACATTTATAAAACAACCTGACTAGAATCTATGAGTGAAGTCCAAAAGGAGCAATCTATGTCTAGGTTATAAAATAGCATCTAAAATGATATAAAATGTGATAACATCTAAAATTACAAAAATGTGTCATCAGGGTCTGGTGGCTCTTCCATGCTGTTGCGCAAAATCTAACTACATGTGCTGTAATAAAAGGCAGTTCATCTATGAGCAGCATCTGGGCATAAGCCAAGTCTGAGCGACCAGGACATCTGTTAATCAGAGGGAGGACAAATCTGATATGAGTGTCTCTGTAAAAGGAGCAATGAAAAAGAACATGTCCTGTGGCTTCCACTTCTCCAGAATTACAGGTGGAACGACCACTTGTTCAGCAATCGTTTAAAGTTGCAACAGCACTGAACAAGGGGGACTTATGACTTTGATCCTCAAAGCTGTGACCATTTGCGACCTTCCCTGCTGGCTTCCAACAAGCAGTCAATGGCGAAGCCAACAGGGAAGGTTGCAAATGGTGATCACATGACCATGGGACACTGCGATGTATGGGATTCACCTAACGACACCATCTGGGACTGCCAGAACTGCTGTCATAAGTTGGCACAGTTATGTGACGTCACGCTTTACGACCACGTCACTTAGTGACAGAGTTCCCAGTTCCAATTACTGTCGCTACCTGTACAGTGCTCCTCTTATTTTTCCCAACAACTCTGTGAACTAGGTTAGGCTGAGAGAAAGTGACTGGCTCAAAGTCACCCAGTGAACTTCCATGGGTGAGGGTGGACTAGAACGTGGGTCCCCCTATTGTTAGTCCAGTCCTTAAAACACTACACCGTACTGGCTTCAAATGCTTTCAGAGCCCTATTATCTGCTCTCTCTTGGAAGTTAGAGGCACAGTACTCTTTATAGTACTGTTAAATATTAGATCTGGCTGAGATCACATCATGAAGTTAGACAAGCAATGTGGTAATGTATCTCTCTATAAAGTTCTAAAAGAAAGCTATTTCCCCTGGACTCATGGAGGACCCCCCAGATTATGCACCGGGCCTGACCAGGGCAATGCAACCCCATCCAAAACCGAAGATGCCAAATCCTTGGATACGGAGGGGCTTCCAATCCACAGCCATGCCCAACAGAGTTCAGCTGCAGCCTGTTGCACCCCATCCAGACCCCCACAGCCTCCAGGCACTGCAAAAGGGTGGTCACGGCATTACTCATGTCACCTGGGATGGAGATGTATAACTGGGTATCATCTGCATATTGATACCTCATCCCATGGTGGTAGATGATCTCACCCAGTGGTTTCATGTAAATGTTAAATCGGAGCAGAGAGAGTACCGAACCTGTGGTACCCCACAATGGGGGGGGGGGGGCTGGGCTGGACCTCTCACTTCCCATCAACACCGACTGGAATTGACCTTGGAGGAAGGAAGAGAACCAGTGTAAAACTATGCCACCCACTCCCAACGCCCTAAGTCGATCCAAAAGGATACCATGGTCGATGGTATCAAAAGCTGCTGAGAGCTCAAGAAGAGCAAGGATGGATACACTACCCCCATCCTGCTCCCACCAGCATCATCCATGAGTGTGACCAATGCCATTTCCATCCCGTATCGGGGCCTGAAACCCCAAAAGGGTCCAGATAATCCGTTTCCTCCAGGATCCTCTGGCGCTACAACACCACCATCTTCTCAACCACCTTCCCTAAAAAGGGAAGGTGGGAGACTGGATGAAAATTGTCCAGTATAGTGGGGTCGAGTGTTGGTTTTTGAGGAGGGGATGTGCCAGCATCTCTTTAAAGGCAGCTGGGAGCACTCCCTCCCTCAAGGAGTGTTATATAATATCGTGAGTGCTTTTTCTTGTTTTGATTCCTGTACCAGCCAAGCAGCTGGGCTACATTATCTCCAATCCTTACATTTAATGATTCATTCTATATCAGTGTTTCTCAACCTTGGAAGCTTGCTAGCTGGGGAATTCTGGGAGTTGAAGTCCACACATCTTCAAGTTGCCACGGTTGAGAAACACTGCTCCATATACAAAAGGTTTTAAACTTCCATTAGTGAGGACTGTCTCTTGTGTTACTTGTGTGGAACTCTCATCTCAATGTAGATCCATTCAAAAGTAATTATCTATAATATTTAATAGGAACAGTTAACAAATTTGATGAGCAACTCTAATAAAGCAACTGGGCTATATTAAAAAAAAGCATCTACACTATAAGGATAAAAACAGCACAGTAGATTAATATACATTGATTATGAACCTCAAAGTTATATAATTTAGGGGTAAATAATTCAGCAGTTTTCAAAACATTTGTGAAAAACAAAAACAGGCAGAGAATAAGCAAAACACACCATATTTTAGTTTAACAATAGCTATTATATAGAACTTACAAAAGGGGGTTGTTGCTTCCAAAGGGTATTATTTAAAAGTAAACAAACAGATAATTATCTAAACGTTCATTGGGAGCCTTTGCTCAGTTATTTAAGCTGGCACGCAAAAAGCAGAAGCAAACAGCCATATACAAGCACACTGGAAATATGACGAAAGAAAATAAACCATTATGTTTCCTTTGGTTTTACAACAATATCCATAGGAGCAGCTGTTTTCAAGTCAGTAGTGAAAAAAGATTTCAAAACTCCCCTATAACAAAATCAAATGCCATAGTTAGAGTGAGAAGATGGTGCACGCTCTTATCATGCATCATCCTGTATCTTCAAAGCTACAGTTCAGGTCTTGGTGTTGCATGCTTATTTAGATCAGCTATCCAAACTAGAATTTCTAAAGATCAAGACATTTCACAGCAGGATTTAGCGGAAAGTCAAATTGCAACCCTGATGCTAAAACTAAACTAAAACTAATTAACTTAAACATTACTGCATGTGGTGTTGAAAAAGTACTGTCTTTATAGAATATTTCTATGAATTCACTTTCTCTCAGCCCTAGGAAGGAGGCAAAGGCAAACCATTTCTAAAAATTGTGCCAAGAAAACTGTATGGACTCATCTAGGCACTCAGCAGGAATCAAAAAATGATTCAAAAGCACAATCGTAATAATGTAATAGGTAACATGCTTAATATATATACACAATAACAGCTATACAGAATTTTTTTAAATATTTAAGCAGATATAATTCTACAGTACAAAAAGCATATGGTCTACATGGACAAAGGTTTTAGCTTATGCTCACCGATGAAATAAAGGCAAACTGACATCCAGTTATAGTAACTGGTTCAGAAAACATTCAGGAAACATGTGAAGATGAAAAATGTGAATTAAATCTATGATTTCACTGCTTATCTTCATAACGTCACACCTATCACTGGGAAATTGCATTTCTTACCTTTGAATTGCAGAGACAGAAATCTGAAACATAGGACTGGAAGCTATATGAACATCTAATGGATCATACCTATCATATAAGTAGTGATAATTCCCTTTTCTAAGCCTGGTATTTTGTAGATTATATACATTATTTGTTTCTTTTGGTTTTCTTTCAGATGTTACTATGTTCTCCACACAGCAATACAAAAATATATCTTGATACCATATAACCCAACCACACTACACAGATAACCAGGATCTATCATACAATTTTTACTAACAGAAGGACCTTGCTGGTGGAGAGGCTGCATTCTTAAGCAATATTATAGCTTTGCACAGAAAATTCAACCAAGCTGCTTTTAACAAAACATTTAATATACTGTAGGTAGACTATTTCTTTCTCTTACAACTTTTGCATTTTTTTCCTATCAAAAATGAAAAAAAAAATGTTTATTATACATTTCTTGAAATTTGGTAGGCCCAACGGACCAGACCCATTTGCTTCAGGAGAAGGATTGGAAATGCGGTGCAAAGACAAAATTCCAACTAGATTCTACTATTCAAATCTTTTTCAATTTCAGTTAAGTGCCATTGGAACGGACAGACTGATAACGCTACCGCTTCCATCATAATGCCCCCAGCATCCAAACCCTAAATCTTCACTGATAGCATGGCAGGTTTGAAATTTATGAAAAAGTGCAGCATTATTGCCAGAAGTCTAATTATGCTGACAAAGAGAAACAAGCTTTTTAAAACAACAACAGAAATGTGACAGGGGTTTTCTGTTTCAAATGAACAGAATCAGAGAAATGTGAGTAACTTCAAGGAACATCTCATTTTTTCAATATTCTTGCCTTTCAAATAACTAATAATATGGGAGCCATCAGTATTCATTCTGAAAAGTGTAAAAGGTCATCATATACCACTTGATTCTAAAAATAAGCTAAAAATCAGCCAATTCTAATCAGGCATATCACTAATATACTAAATAGATGACTAAGAATACCCCACCACCACACTGCACCCATTTTTTTACCAAAATGCTTATCAGGCCTATGCAAATCATTTCTAGGGGTGCATCACAAAAGTTCCCTCCAAATTTTTCCTTGACTGAAGTCTGCATCTGATGCAACAAGTCTTCTCCTGAGCTGCAAATTAATCTGATTTATACTAGAGGAAACAAAACTGAACCTCTTAATGAACTTTAATTCAGCAGAAATATCTTTACTCAAAGATGGCCATTTTAAAGTCAGTTAAATGTTTCCACGCTAAATTAGCAGGTGGCAGAGAATGAAAGAATCTGGAAGGGCTCCAGAAATGAAAACAAGCCACCTTTACACATTGTATTAAGCCATGATCTATTAGCTTTTTGTGGTTGAGTGTGTTTTGCAAACCTAGCCAACTCTGATTTATTCAGTAAACCCCAATTAAGCAAATCATGTTTTAGCACAAAGCTGAATTCATCACTGGATCCTTCATATCTGTTGTCTCCATAAGGGAGCATCCAAGTTGTATAAAACAAGATGGCTAGAATGAGCAAGGTGCCCTACAACATACATGTCACTACAGCACAAAATAAGGCTGAAGCCAAGTTTAATGGAGTTATATCTGTACATATATATTCGTATGTGTACAAATAAGCCAAGCCTTTAAAGTATTATAGAGGTAGAAAATAAACACCAATTTAGGACTACCAATTCATTTGGAATAACTAAAACATTCTTTTGAGTTAAACATTGCAAATTAAAACTAAATTAAATTAAAACTAAGAGAGCCAGTTTGGTGTAGTGCAGGCACCAGGCTAGAAACCGGGAGCCTATGAGTTCTAGTCCCAACTTAGGCACGAAGCCAGCTGGCTGACTTGGGCCAGTCCCTCTCTCTCAGCCCTAGGAAGCAGGCAAGGGCAAGCCACTTCCAAAAAACCTGGCCAAGAAAATGGCAGGGACTAGTCCAGGCGGTTGTCTGGAGTCAACAATGACTTGAAGGCTATACATGAACATATCCATACATATATATAAATATATCTCCTTCCTTCCTTCCTTCCTTCCTTCCTTCCTTCCTTCCTTCCTTCCTTCCTTCCGTGATATGAAATATGTTTTCAGTATGAAGAAGTTCAATAAAAACTGATGTCAACCCACCACTAGCTTCAAAATGGCTACTGCAATAAACCGTGTTTCTCCAGCTGATTCTCTCACAAAGATGACTTTCATAACAAAATACTTGCCTTCTGAATTGTTCTACACAAAACATTCATTCACAACAGGCATGTCCTATGATTAGCCAACAAAAGAACGCCCAACATAGAAAACAATTAGTTTTCTACAATAGCTATAACTTTCATTAATCTATTTTATTGTAACAACGCAGGAGTGCATAAAATTGCTAAATCAACACATAAAGTAATTCACAGACCACTTTCACTAGTGTATTTTTTATATCACGAAGGCAGTGTAATTTATAAAATGATAATGAATCTTTATTCCATATGTAAAATGATAAACTAAAAAGCCAGACATGGGAATAGAACTTTATCAATTGTTATTTTTAGTCATTTATTAGCATATCCTCTATATTAAACAGTATGGTAAACAACACAACAGAATGTTAAGCTTCCTTGTGACCCAATTTTCATCTTCAGCACAAAATGAGAGGAGGAAAAAAAATTCTTGGCAACACATTAACATCATTTCCATAGCAATAGAACAAAACAGTATCCATGCTCAGTGCAGGATTAAACAAAAAAAAAAAAATAGTGACAGGAACATCTTAATGGGTGAAACAACTGTGCTAACTTAAAAACAGCAATAAAAGACATACTATGACCATTTCTTTCCATTTAAACGTTTCCCAGAGTATCTGTCCTATATTTGTTAGGCATAGCAAAACGCAGTCAGAAACCTTACATTAGGGATGCATTAAAACTGATTTCATTCAGTGGCCATCTGATATTAAAGCTCATTTTCTGGGCCAAAAGGAAACAAGCAGAGTTCTCTTACCGAGTATTTTTTAGGCTCCTTGCAGGCATCTTGAGTTTTAAAAAGGGTCTTTAAGAAAAGTACAGTTGCCTTTGTTTCTGCCACCAGCTCGATCTGAAACAAAAGTCTTTCAGGCAACTCACATGAAAGTCAGAGCTTTGCACCAGAATCTCTAGGACCTTGCTGTACCAGCGCGCAAGCTGGCCTGACAATGGAAGCGTGGGGCTGCTGTTTTATGCATTAGTAGTGTCAGGTCATTTGCCACACAATGAAAAACAGGGGATGGAGCAGGCTGCTTCAGGCACAGCCCCTCTCCCCTTCGTGGATCAACTAGATCAGTGTTCCTCAACCTTGGCAACTTTAAGACGGGTGGACTTCAACTCCCATCTTAAAGT